GTGTGTGTGTGTGTGTGTGTGTGTGTGGGCAGCAGCCTGTAGAGCTGTGCCCTGTGTGTGTGTGTGTGTGTGGGCAGCAGCCTATAGAGCTGTGCCCTGCTCTGGTTGGAGGGTCCACAGGATCTCTTAGGCTGGGTAGAATGTGTGATCCTGATCCTGTGAGCCCCAAATGTAAAGCTGGGTTTGGGTGCCCTTGTGAGTGAGGAGGCCTGGTGAGGTGAAGTGGTGGAGGCCTTCTGGTTTTCCCTTTGACTCATGATGCCTCACCCCTCCTCTTTCCCCCGTTTTCAATCTGACCCATTTCTGGGCTAAACTTCTGAATTTACTCCTCGGTTAGCATGTTTTCATGATCAGGTGCCCCTACAGTTAAGAGACCCTGTGGACTCTCCTCCAACCTGAGCTGGCATGGGTGGAGGGCAGTCCGTATAACCAAGGCAGGTGTGGGGGAGGCTCCTTCAAATCCACCCAGGAAGGGAACAGCCTGTGGGTGTGGGTGAGGCTGGGGCAAAGGCCTCAGCCAGCCTGGTGGCACAAACAGGAAGGACAGCAGGCTCTGGCAGCCAGAAGTCTGTGGCCCCAAGCTGGCAGGATGGCCCCCTTCCTGCAGGTCCCCCACAGCCTTCTGAGTTCCTGACACAAGAGATGAGGTGGGGCGGGGTGAAGTGATCTCTGAAGCCAGATTGTGACTTTCCTGGGGTCACTCTGAGATGGAGAAAGATGCCGGGGCGGAGACAAAGGGGCAAATATCACTACAGTTATCTTATTAAAGCACCACGTGACTAGAAAGGCAAAGGCACAGCTGCCCACTCTGTGGCCACCTCACGTTGTATCTCAAACCAGCTAGATAGTTTCTGATGGCACCCATACCTCCCTTCCCCTTTAGGCATTGTGCAAGCTCTCCACCACAATCTGGAGGTTATACCCTGCATGGGGGAGGGGTAGGACACTTCTGAGGTGCCAATCAGCCTGCATTCGCCTCTGCCCTGGTCGTGGGACTGCTGTCAGTTTCTTGGTTCCTGTCTCAACAGCAGCCTTGCCACGTGAGACTACGGCTGGAGGTGGGGGCAGGAATCCTGGAAGTTCAGGAGTGAAATAGGGTAGGGCAGAGCAAAGTATAAGAGGCATCCCTACAAGGGATGCTGGGGCAGGCCTGGCTGACAGTCTTTCCTTTCAGAACGCCTGGTCTGGAGCTCTGTGACATGGACAAGCCAGGCTCGCCATTCTCCATACAGGGCTCCATGGTGTCTTGGTCAGCAGAGCAGGGGATCTTGTGAGGATGGAGGAAGCTTAGCTCAAAGCTCTGTATAGGCTGAAGCTCTGGGTGACCCTGCCAGGCTACCCTGCCCTGGTCTGCACTGGATCATTGCATCTCCAGACTGGGAGGCTTGATAGGATGGAGAAAAATCTTAGCTACGAGCTATAGGTTATCCCACCAGAGCCAGTGGGAGGGAAACCAAATAAACCTGGACTGAGGCTGGGACTAGCCTTCCTGTTTCTGGAATAGATGGCAACCCCTTGCCCACCAGGCTGCCTGTCCACGTCAGAGACACACAGACTCCTTCCCTTTCCAGACTGGAAAGTCCCTTCCTGGGATAGCAGGAAGGAAGCAACTCGTCCAGTCCTGGACCTTGGGCTGAGCCTACAGTTCAAGGTTTGTATGCCCACAGGTCTTGACAGGGAAAGATGTGTATCCCCAGTGCACCACCCCCACCCCCAGTCCACTGCAGGTAGCTCCTGGGTCTGCCCTTCAGGGCACGTGCTGAATTCTCATTGGACTGTGATGGGGCCCTTTTCTGAGGATTACAATTCTGTGAACAAGGCATTTTCTAGAGGTGACAGAATAGCACTTTGTGATACCTGAGGGTCTGAGGGTCCAGCCCAGTGGGGGATTGGAGGAAGTGGGTATCATCATTACAGGGAGGGGCCTCTGTGGCCTCTTGAGGAAGTACAGTTGCTCTCCTTGGGTCCCCTGGGGTTGCATGGTGGGCAGAGGATGGAGGCGCTCACCCAGGAAGGGATCATGTCTGTTCAGAGTGCTCACACAGGGCCTTTTCTTTTCCTGAGGGCAAGCAGGCCTCTTCATCCTCCTCTTCCTCTCCTCCCTCCTCTTCCTCCTCTTCTTCTTCCTCCTCCTCCTCCTCCCCCATATGCCTCCTAGCTGGACCAACAGGGTTGGAAAGGGGCCTTGTCTTGGCCTTCCTCATGTCTCAATTCCCTCTTTGAACAGAGGACAGGGCGGGTGGGGTGGGGTTGGAGAGTGGTTGATGCCAAAGATTGAAGGGTAGGGCGGGGCAGAAGCGGGAAGGTCTTTGGCTTCCTCACCTTGGTAGGTGAAACAAAAGCATCAGAGGCTGAGTTGAGCAGCAGCTGTGATTTCAGGGAACCTCTATTGGAGAGGCTGCTGTGATTTGAAAACCTCCTTTCCTTGAGTGACTGATTCCAGAAGGCTCTAGATGAATTGACTGATTCCAGAAGGC